ATCACTTGACCGTTGAAATCAGGCGATTGGCGTTTGAAGCCGGTGACACGTGGCGCACAACGCATGACCGGACGCTGAGGTCCAGTGTCCGGTCAATTTGACCGGAGCATCCGGTCGGCCCGTGTTCAATGCAGTGAGGAGCCCAACGGCTCTATTTCATAGGGACTTCTATTTAAGCCCCATGGCCGGCTCAAGCTCACTCTCTTGGCCATTTGCATTGACTTAGCAACCTTGTGAGCTTAGCCAAAGCCCTCCCCATCGTCTCCATTATTGATTCATCATCTTTGTGAGATTGGGAGAGAATCCAAGTGCATTGTTTGAGTGATTGCATCTAGAGGCACTTGGTATTCGTGTTTTGCTATGGATTTCGCTTGTTGCTCTTGGTGGTTGCCACCACCTAGACGGCTTGGTGCAGCGGTGGAGGATTGGCACGAGTTGGTGATTGTTCGTGGCCATCTCCGGTGATTGTGAGGGGTTTTGTACCTTCCCCGGTGGAGCACCGAAAGGTAACTCTAGTGGATTGCTCATGTCATTGAGTTACCTCACTTGTGGGTAGGTTCTTGCGGTGTCCAATCGTGTGGACGAGGTTTCTGCAACACCTCTTAGCCACCGAACCACCAAGTGTTGGTCGACACAACGGGGACGTAGCGTGTTGGCAAGCACGTGAACCTCGGGAGAAAATTGGTTGTCTCTTGCCATTTGGTATTCTCCCGGTGATTGATTTCATCTTCATCTTGTGATTGGTTCATTCCTCTACACTGCGGTATAATCACCCTACTCACTCATTTATATTCTTGCACACAAGTTGTGGCAAGCTCTTTAGTGTAATTAGAATTGAGAGCTTGCTTTGTTATTTTAAGTTCATCTAGTGGAGCTCTTTAGAGTAGCAAGATTGAGAGCTCTTAGTGAGACGTAACATTGCAAGTTGTGTGCCTAGTAAACATTGCAACTAGAATTGTTGGATAGGTGGCTTGCAACCTTTGTAAAGCTAGAGCAAGTTTGCATTTCGCTATTTGTCGTACTAATCAAATTGCTCTAGTTGATTTGTAGATTTTTAAATAGGCTATTCAGCCCCCCTCTAGCCATATTAGGACCTTTCAGCGGTGGCAGAGCCCTGCAGGTGGCGACAGCGATGGCAGCAGCGTCGCGGTTGGAGTTGCGCCGGCGGCGTTGCTGCTACAGACGGAGATTTCTCCAGTGCAATCGATCGCCAAGAACTTGTCTTGGTAGTGGACGATGGACCCCACAGAGAACTCCAGTTTGGTATCGAGCAGCATCTATGCGCTGTCGACTCCAACCCGGCAGAACGCGACCTCCGTGGAGCACCCAAGCATGGCCATGGCCACGCACTCGTGGCCAGCGGTGTCAGGTGGCGCCGAGAGCACGATATCATGGAAGAACACGTCCCTCATATCTTCTAGCTTAATGGCGTTGCCTGTGGCATCCGCGTCCCCATAGCCGTTGGTGGGATGGAAGACCCACCGGCCGTGGACCCTAGACACGCGTTCCGATGAGGACGCCACCGCGACGTGTTCGCCTACTGGCGGGAGCTCAACGCGGGGGGCATGGGCACCGACGAATGGATTCAGTAGCGTCACGGACACCGCCTCGTCCATGAGCTCCAGCCACCCAAACGAGGAGCCGCACGCCACCTTGCCGCGCACGTCAGGCAGCGTCTTGGACAAGACCTTCTTCTCCAGGACGTAGTAGAAGCTGACGTGGTCTGAGTCGGGGTCGAATGGGAGCAGCAGGAGCGGCCCGAAGGTCACGAACGGGACGACGGCGCGCCATGGGGAACAAGTGGATTGAAAGGACGCCGCGTTGTGGCCTGACGCGAGACGCTGCCTGATTGACTCGAGGAGATCCTCTGGCAGACTGGATCTCCAGTCAGGGAGAGGTAGGGACCTTCTCTTGAGATTGGGAGGCTGAGCCATGGAAGACAGATGACATCAACTATGGTTCACGCAAGAAACAGCAAGCGAGGGTGATGGAACACGTGAGCGTGAAACCAAATGAAAGGAGAAAAAGTTGTCCCTTTTGCAAATGCAAAGAGAGAAAGTAATTAAATGTAGGTAGATTTGGCAAGGTTCTCAGAAATACAAAGAGGTTCATTTTGTCTTAATTCTCTTTCCTTCTATATTAATTCTCTTTTCTTTTCCTCATTGCCATGTATGCTGGTGCATGCAAACATGCAATGTATATATGGATAGCACAATAATTTTCTACTTTCTATTTTACCGTGATTCCTCTATCACATGACAGGCAATATTCAATCAAGGAGAATGGCACGATCAATCAGTAATTAAGATGTCGTGGGATCGCAGGCGTGGACAGACGGACGAACCAAAACAAATATCGCACAAAAAAATGTCCACACTTTGTTCTTTTTAGTTGTAGGAGATAAAGTATTCTCTTCGTCCAGCACAACGTGTGTCATTCTCCTTTTGTGAGGAATGAAACATTTGCAGCTTTGACCAAATGTATATAAAAATATTAATATTTATGACGTATAATTAACATCATTAGATGAATGGTAAATTTATTTTTATAGTAAACTTATTTAAAAATATAAATATTATTTATTTTTTATAAATTTAGTTAAACTTAAAAAAATTGACGACCTATTAGATGGAAGAGCAGTAACTCGCCAAGTCTACTGCTGTGAGGCAGCGTGTCGCCGCGTGGCCGTGAGCGGTGCTTGGAGGCGGAGGTGGAGGCGGCGCGACCGGGGTGAGGTGTGACATAGCCATCGCCGAGAAGCCTAATGGCTCCTTTGGAACACAGGATGGGGAAAACCCAGGATAGGAAAAACAAAGGAATATGATAGGATTGAAGTTGGAAAACAGAGGATTGAAAACTATAGGAAACTTTGAAAATTTGTTGTTTGGATAAGCCTAGGAAATTCATCGGAATGGAAAACTTAGGAAATTATAAAGAATACGGCTTACAAGTTTACCGTATCTGCGGCTTCATTTGTTGGTGTCGCACATGTGGGTCATCACATCTCGATCTTATCCCCTTCCCCATCGTTTTCATCCGTTCATTTCACTGAAGCTCCATCTCTCAGCATCGATGGCCAGTAGCAGCGGGACGCAGAGCGAGGCTGCAAGCTCGAGCGGCAAACGCAGTAGTGGGGCCGCAAGTTGACAGGCGTGGCAGGAGGCTGCGAGCTCGAGCGGCAAGCACGGGGCGGCAGCCTAGGCGATGATGTGATCGAGCTCCCGCACGGCCAGCGAGCAGGCGACGACGAGCTCGAACTCCAGCACGGCCGATGAGCGGGCGACGACGAGCTCAAGCTCGCACTGGCGGGCGGGCGGGCCGGCGCATCAAGTTCTTTTTTGCAGTTTTCTTCTTCCTCTACGTCATGCTTACTGCGATGAGCTCGCTCGAGGGACTTGATTGTTCTCGATCCAACGCAAAGGAATAGAAACAAGAGGTCTGCGTGGATGTTAGATTTCCTCCGTTTTTCTTCTGGAACAGCTGCCATAAGAAGATTTCCTCCGTTTTTCCCGTGCTCATTTCCTGCCATCCAAAGGAGTGAACAGTAGCCGAATCCTCAGAATCCCAAATCCTACGTTTTTCCTGTTATTCTCCTTCGATCCAAAGGAGCCCTAAGAGAAAACAGGATGAGGAGCAGGAAAGAGACAAAGAGGAGAAATGAACAGGCGCATGTTCCTCCCGGGCGTTCACAAGTGTTGGGACGCTATGGTCGGGTGTGGCGTGTGCGTGAGGAGTGACAAACGCATGCGCAGCCAACATGAAGTCTTTACCAAAAAGTATTAATATTGATGACGTATAATTAACATCATTTGATGAATTATAAATTTTATTTTTAATAGACTTATTTAGAGATATAAATATTAGAGCAAAATTCACCACCGGTCCCTGAACTTGACCGGTGGTGTCATCCAGGTCCCTGAACTTCTAAAGTGATATTTGTGGGTCTATAACCTTAGCAGACAGTGTCATTCAGGTCCCTAAACTTTCAAGGTGATCACCGCAGGTCCCTAAACTTGACCCGTGCCATCCCGGTCCCTGAACTTTCGAGGTAATCACCATAGGTCCCTAAACTTGACAAGCGGTATCATCACTGTCCAAATATGGCATAACCTACTCTATAAGCTGGCGTGGCACGCTAAGTGTACGTTAGACGTGGATGTAACATGGGTCAATTAATCAATCATTAAATAATTTTTATCATGAAAATATAAATTATATAAAATAATTTACATCAGCAAAAAATAAATTAAAGGATTAAAATAATTTATAACAATAAATATATTAGGTTTAAACTAAAATAGAAAAAATACTAAAATTAATTTAATATTTATTTATCATTAATAATATTAAAATAATATTAAAAATCCTATAGTATTAAAAGTTACTTCTAATTTTAATATCTTAATAGTAGTATTATAGAAGTAATACTAAAATCATTATTAATAATAGTATTATAGTATTAAAAGTTTTAATAATAATGTTATAGTATTAATAATAGGAAAAAGTTACTTATATAATAATACTACTAAAGCTTTTAAAATAATACTAAAATTAGAAGTAACTTTTAATAGAGAAAAATCTTTTAATACTATAGGTAACTTTTAATATTATTAAATTTGAACAGGGATGACACCGCTTGTCAAGTCTAGAGACATGCGGTGATCACCTTGAAAGTTCAGGGATCGAGATGACACTGTCAGCCAAGTTTAGGGATCTGCGGTGATCACCTTGAAAGTTTAGAGACCTGGATGACAGCGTCTGTCAAAGTTTAAGGACCCACATATATTACTTTAGAAGTTCAGGGACCTAGATAACACCTCTAACCAAGTTTAGAAACCTAAGATGATTTTTTTCATTATTAATATTTTTTATAAATCTATTCAAACAACTGACGACCTAGACGACCCATCAAAAAAACATCTACCGCTGTGACAACTGAAGTGAGAAGACGGCGGCAAAGGCCGAAGTGAACGAAGTAGTCAACGGCTGAACGCGTTGGAATGGAGGCCCTGAATAGCCGAAGCTCACAAGACGCTGAAATCCCTGACCAGCGGGTCCACTCAGCAAAAAGATATGGGCCTACATGTCTGTGTCCCGGGAGCGTCACGGAAACCGCCGGTTTCTTTGTTCTTCAGGTCACTTTCCCCACTTCTCTGCCTTGGTGGTGGTGCCTCCCCGCCCCGCCACTCCACTCCACAAGCTCTCCTCGCTGCTGATTCCTCAAAGATCAACGCCCTAGGTTGGCGTTCTTCGATCCGGAGACAGCCGCTGCGGCGCTGCAGCAGCTGCCGAGGTGAGGCCCAATCTTTGATTAACAAGCGTGCGTTGGCAATCTTTGATTAACGGCGTCGTGTTCGCGAGGCCCCTCGCTTAGAGGAGGGCGGCGGGCACGCCGGGTAGGTGGGAGGCGGGCGGAGCGAGTCGGCGGCGTGCTCGCCGCCGGCCCCGGGCGGCGGCGGGGCGGACGGGGTTAGGGTAGGATTTGAGATTTGGGGAAATCTCCCATGTCCTCCGGCCCTAGAGGGATGGCCGGGCGGTGGCGGTGAGGCGTGGTGGCCACGCGTCAAAGCCTCCTCTTCCTCCTGTTGGCTTGCTCCCCTCGCATCTGCTAATCGATTCTTGTTCCAGCATATTGGACGCCGGCCACCTGCTCGACAGAATGCATCCTGGGGAAAGCAGCAAGAGAGAGGTCAGCAGCGGAGGCAGCATCGACGCCCTGCCGGATGGCGTCCTGGAGCACATCCTCGGCTTCCTGCCTGCGCCGGAGGCTGTGCGGACGTGCGTGCTCGCCCCGCCGCTGGCGCTACCTCTGGAGGTCCGCCCCAGGCCTGCGCGTTGGGTGATGGCCCAGGCCTGCGCGTTGGGTGGCCAGATGATGGCGAGCAGGCCTCGCCACCAGTGAAGGAGCATCGGGAGTTGGTGGACCGCCTGCTCCTCCTCCGCGGAGGTTCACCGCTTGACACGTGCGACATCAGGTTGGGCGAGTTCCAGGACGATGACGTGCCACGCGTCAACTTCTGGGTCTGGCATGCTATATCGTGCAAAGTCAGTCAGTTCACGCTCGGTATCTATTGGCATCGCTATCTTAAGCTAGACGATCTGCCTCTCGTCTCCCAGCACCTCACCAGGCTACAGCTGCGTGGAGTTTGGGTCCACAGCAGTTTTCTTGACTTCTCCAGCTGCCCAGCCTTGGAATATCTGGAGTTGCTTTGCTGTAATCTCTTGATGGTCAAGAATATCTCATCTGACTCCCTGAAGCATCTAAGCATCACGGAGTCCCGCTTCCCTGATGGATTGAATCAATCCATGTTCAGTGTTGTTCTACAGTCTCCCGGACGCACTCGCATTTATGCGCCAAATCTGGTTTCACTGCGCCTAGATGGCCTTGAGAACTTGACTCCCATGCTTGACAGCATGCCATCACAAGTCGTGGCATTTGTCCGAATAACAGAGGATTGTTGCGACTTCTGCGTTAAGCTATCTGAACCAGACATCACAGATTGTGTTTGTGAGTTGTGTGACAGTTCTCGTGGTGGCACCAGCTATGGTTGTGTGCTTTTCAAAGGTTTATCAAAAGCTAAGAGTTTGGTGTTGGTTTGTACTACATCTGAGTATGACACGGTATGCTTACACTCTGCCTTAGTTATATTGATTTGAGTTCTTCACAAGTTGAGGATAACCCTTTTTCCAAAGCATTATCTACAACATTAATTGCTGGGAGTTGATAGATGCCAGTTAGATGGGATTTGGATTTTGCATGCGGTGCCACCAGCTATGCTTATTAAACTCAAACCATAAGCTCAGAATGAACATCGTTCTATCATCTTTGCATGCTGATTCCCCAGATTCTTTTCAAATGGGATATGAGATGGTGCCCTGTGTTCAGCATGTTAAAGACCTTGGTGCTCAATGAATATTGGTGTGTTCTTGATTATGCTAATCTATTGCTTCGTATTCTTGAACACTCACCAGTTCTTGAGGAGCTCACTCTTGAACTTTTTTCTGAGGTACATACTATGTAAACATGAAACTGTTTTATATTAAAGACTTATTATTGATCTTGGAAATTTGTTTTTGTCCACTACAGGGGCCTAACTATGAAGTGGAGATGAAAGGAAGCATCAATCAGATGGAGCGATCAGCTAAGATTTCAGAATACCTTAACATAGTCAAAATCAAGTGTCAGATTGTTGATGAAAGTGTTCTCAAAGTTTTGGAGTTCCTACGCACCTTTGACATATGTAAGCTAACTTGCAACTTTCTGCTTCTTAAATGTTCACTTAGAATTATTGACAAAGGAACACCCTGCCCTGCATAGAAATTTAGTTGGCAGATAAAATCAGAAATTTATACATGGAGTTATCGAAGTTGAAATCTATTGCATAGACATTGAGATATATTAAGTAGACTTCTATAATAGTTCTGACTGTTTGAGCTGTTGATTAGTTTTGACAAAGATGACCTAACTGGTTTGTTGCGACCATATTCGGCTCGCTTTTTAGTACTGAACAATAACACAGATATTAACATTTAATTTTTCTAAGCAATCACAAACTGTATTGACATATTGTCCTGCAGCCTCCCCATTTTCTTGAATGCTAGATATGGTCGGTTATACACCTCTGTCATTGAGCAGCTCTAACTCAATTCTTTACACAAGCTCATTCATGCATTTGATTACCATGAAACTATCGCTTCTCCATACTTTTGTAGTTTTGTTGATTAAGCATACTTTTACTCACCTCCTGCAGGTATCAACTTATTCATATGTCTCAATCATTGCTTATATATCTTTATGTTGGTGCCTCATTATTCAATCTCTGTTTATTTATGGAAGTATGTTCATAGTTTATGTATCACTAATAGTGTTCTCTGATAATATTGTAATGTGTCAGATCTATTTTTCCTATTTTAGTTTTATTTCAGTTTCCTTCGGCACTTGCTTTACCATCCTTTAAGAGGGTAGAAACGTGTATCCCCACATGTTTTCTCTTTTGATATGTCTTTGTACTTTCCAAGGGTTGCAGTTTGCACAGATTAGAATAACACATGTCCTCTTGTTTTTTATTCCCTTTACCCGTCAGATTTCTTGGACCTAAAAAACAAACATAAATATATTCTCTTCTTTTGAACTTCAATCTTTCAGTGTTTAGAAAACACGTGTGCTCTGTATTTCTTCTTAAAGGGTAGTTTACCTAGGTGTATTATAGTTCAAAGTTGAAATTGTTGTAGTTCATCATGGTTAGAAAACTATGTGTTAAATAATTAGTCATTGTTTTGATCCATTGTAGGTTAATTGAGCATGTTCAATCAGATTGGGCAGAATGTTGGTCAAAAGTGAATTTCCTATTCAGGGAAATGTGTTCCTGTAGTTTGAAGATTCTGTCTAGTAACTTTCTGGTAAAAAAAATTGAACTCTGAATTCAATTTGTCTTCCATTTTTGTACAGGTTTTGGTTTCTGAAATGAGCCGCTAGGAACATTTGAGGTATCAAGGAATCTACTATCTTTCATTGTTAGGAAGTGCAAGGCTAAAGTTCTCAGCAACAAAGTTATCACCTCTGGTACAGAGTTAATTGGGCGCGTTATGTTCAGTCATAGACTTCTAGTTACATGAATGTGCAAAAAATGGCAACACAAATTGTTCGGAACTTTAAATATCTAGTTATATCTAGCGTATGAGGGTTTGTTTGACAATCTAGACTATTTAATGCCCCATTAGCATATGTACTTTGGTTTAGGGTTGTGCTACTAAGGTGACCTCTCTTGTACCATAATCCGTTCATCTCTCTATGTTGTTGTATGCAATGATTCGATGGGACATCTGGTAGCAAGATTGGAAAAGAAAAGGTGACATGTCTAATTTGTCATTTACCAAATTTATTTCCTGAAAGCTTTGCATTTCATGCAAGGAGTAACTCTGTACTATTACAAGTTGATTGGACCAAAATTTGAACAAACAAGAGCAGTATATAGCGGTGGTCTATTGACTACTATGGTAGGCTGGTAGCCTGCTGGCAGAGTAGAAAAAACACAATGGCTAGAGTAAGATCCATGGCTGGCTCAGGTTTGTGAAAACAGAGCACAAGAATTTTCCAGGAGTACTTAAAAAAAGAGCTGAATATATAGAAAATATGTATTTCTAGCTCTAGGCCCGAGTACAAGTGTATACCAACAACGAATCAATGTACTTATAATGGTAAAGTGTCAATTTTTTTTGTGCAATAAAGTGATCGTTTTCCTAGTTCCCAACTTGACTTCATGCATGTTTAGGTAAGAAAAATCCTTTTCATGCACAATTAAGCTGTAAGATGCCGAATTTGTTTAGAGCACACGCCTGAATACCTTCTGATTAGTTTGGAATGCTTTTAATTTAATTTTTGAACTAAAACTTAATTTTTATCATGTCCTTTGTTAAGAAGCTTTGAATTTTACTTGAACACATGCATATGTTTGGAAATTACATGAAAAAAATACAAATTCTCAAATCATGAATTTAAATGCTTTTTCTCGAATTTTTGGAGTAGAAAACTGAAATATAGCATTATAGGATGGATTTTAGTTTGAAGACTACAAGCGATATGATGTTAGATCCAAGCAAATGGGTCATACTTAATTTTTGCTTCTCCATTCCAAATCATCAACCGTTGTGTCGTTTCTAGGTATATAGTGTTTTTCTATGCATATAGATATATATAGTAAAAACTATGTATCTAAAAAAAACTTAAAATTTTGGAATGAAAGGAGAAACACTTTAAAAAATTTAAGTGTATGTTCGGATCCTACGAATTGAAACCAATATATAGTGATTCTTATTTTATTATTAAATTACTTTTTAATTTCTCTCAATTCTTGATCTTAAATTTTTTTAGAGATTCATAGATCCTTTATTTTAGATCGACAAAAAACCCAAAAAAAATTAAATCGGCTAATAAAGGAACAGACACACGTGATAACTTTCTCGGTCATAGTAAGTAAAATGACGTCATTTAATCCTACGCCGTGACAACTTTTTCGGTCACGGGCTCACGGCAAGTAAAATGGGTGGAGCTCATTATGAAGTGTGTGCAGACTGTCAAGTACAAAGTTAAAATCAATGGCTGCCTAACCGAAGAATTTGTTCCAGAGCGTGGCCTAAGGCAGGGTGATCCACTATCTCCCTACCTCTTCTTGCTATGTGCAGAGGGCTTCTCTACTTTACTTCAGAAAGCGGAGGATGATGGCCACATTGGAGGGGTGAAAATTTGCCAAGGTGCTCCAAGCATCCCTCACCTGCTGTTTGTCGATGATTCTTTGATCCTAATTCGTGCAAACGGGGAGGATGCAGCAAAGTTACAGGGTATCCTGAATTTGTATGAGGAGTGTTCGGGGCAGATGATGAACAAAGACAAATCAGCCATTAATGTTTAGTAAGAACACTTGTAATGCCAAAAACACAGCTGTGATGCAAAGATTGGGGATTATTAAAGAATCGTTCAATGATAAATATCTTGGTCTTCCGATTCATGTGGGCTGCAATAGATCTCAAGTTTTTGGCTTCGTGAAGGACAGAGTCTGGCAAAGAATCCAGGGGTGGAAGGAGAAGTTTCTGTCCAATGCAGGGAAGGAGGTGATGATAAAGGCTGTGGCACAGGCTATCCCTACATATGCAATGGGGTGCTTTGACATAACCAAAGAGCTTTGTGATCAGATTAGCCGTCAAGTGTGTAGATATTGGTGGAGCCAAAATGACAAAGAGAATAAGATGCATTGGCTAAGTTGGGAGAAACTGAAAAAATCCAAGAAACAAGGGGTTTTAGGCTTCAGAGATGTCCATGCTTTTAATATTGCCATGCTTGCAAAGCAAGGCTGGAGGCTGTTACAGAATCCTGACTCCCTGTGTGCGAGAGTTCTAAAGGCAAAGTATTTTCGTAATGGTGATCTTCTAAATGCAAAGCCTTGTGAGGGGATATCTTATACATGGCGAAGTATCTTGAAGGGAGTGGAGTTGCTAAAGAAGGGGATTATATGGCGTGTAGGCGATGGCGAAAAGATCAAAATCCTGTCGGACCCCTGGATTCCTAGAGGAGTGACACGACGACCAATTTCTCCAAGAGCCGGTAATTTATTGACAAGGGTTGCTGACCTTATTAATCCGGGCACGGGGCAATGGGACAGGGAGCTGGTCCAGAGTGCTTTCTGGAGTGAAGATGCAGCCCAGATTCTCGCCATACCTGTCCACCCGGACATGGATGATGTCCCTGCGTGGCACTTTGACCCCAAAGGCCTGTTCTCTGTCAAGTCGGCGTATAGAGTATTTTGCGATGATTTACAGCGAAACAGCTCGCATGATCAGGCAGCTGGGAGTTCCTTGAACAATGGCGCTGAGGAAGCCTTCTGGTCTGCGATTTGGAATTTGGAAGGTTTGGGTCGGCTGAGACATTTCCTGTGGAGACTAGCGCACAACTCCCTAGCACTTTGCTCGAATCTGAACTTGCGTGGTGTCAAGGTCATGGACCGGTGCTTCTTGTGTGGGCATGTGGGTGAGGATGGGAGCCACCTGTTCTTTCGTTGCAATCAGGTGAAGGAAGTATGGAGATCAGCTGGTTTGGAAGATATCAGATGTCAGCTCAGTCTCTGTACAAGCGCCAAGGAGACAGTTGAGCAAATTTTGAAGCTAAAAGGGGATGTTCGGCTGAAAACCATTTTTATAATGAATAACTGGTGGCATGAGCGTAATGCAGTTCGGGAGGGTGAACTGAGAAGATCGGCGGATCACATTGCTATCTTGAGCGGCCGACAAACTCTGGAGCTGACGGAGATGGGATCACCTGGTTTGGAGACAGCCACTAGACAAGGGCGGCAGAGGTGGCAGCGCCCCCATCAAGGCATGCTGAAGATGAACGTCGATGGCTCTTTCAAATGTCAAGATGCATGTGGAGGCTGGGGATATGTGATTAGAGATGATCTGGGAGCTATCATCCAATCAGGCTGGGGTCGTAAAGACTTCGCCTGCAGTCCGTTACATATGGAGCTTTTGGCGTGTCTTCAGGGACTCGGTGCGGCGGTGCAGCTTGGCATTCAGGACCTGGAACTGGAGACCGATGCGAAGCAAGTTGTTGATGCAATCAAGGGAAATGACTTCAGACTTTCCTTGGTTGGAGGCCTCGTGCATGAAGTGAAGGAGTTGTTAGCTGAAAATTTTACGCAGGCCTTAGTTCTCTATGCCCCACGTGATTGTAATCGAGTTGCTCATGAATTAGCTGCTCTAGGTAGCAAGTGTGAAGAGGCTCAGCCCTCAGTGTTGGCCGGAGTGCCAGATTGTATCATGTATTTAGTGTCAGGCGATTTAGCCGATGTGGTTGATTAATGGAATCATGAATTCCCTCAAAAAAAATGACGTGACTTGATCCTACGCCACATTGGTGACATACATGATACATGAAAAGTGGCAAACACGAGTTACCATTTGTCACATAATACCTCATGAGTGAAAGGGAGTTGCTAAATAACAGGCGCCTGATTTTTACATTCTTTTTAGGCGACAAACACCATCCATCTAGTCTAAATCCAACGATCAGTAATCATTCTCAACCCTGGCCGTACACCTTTTCCCTTGCTAGTAGTCCATCGTCTTCACTTTTAGGCACATGTAGGATAGGAAATGTGCTTAAAAATTTAGTTTCATATTAAAGTGTCCACCCATGGCCTTATCGTCTTCCCTTTCCCCCACCTGGCCACCTCCTTTGGTTGTCGTCAAATTTCTTGATCTCTCCGGCTCTCGGAGCTCCACGCTGTGGGTTGCCTATCCTTGTGGAGTAACTTCCGCTTGTCTGCTACAGCCTTCGCTGAGGTGAGGTGGCTGCGAGTCATAGCCTACATCGGGGGCGGATCTATTGTTGTGCCCGGGTATTCCTTGGCAAATCTAATATTTTTTAGCAAAAATTTAGATGTTTGTAGACGTATATACATGTACTCGCTCTATTCCAAATTATAAGCCATTCCAAATTTACTAGAGTGTCAAAACATCTCAAGTTTGACCAAAATTATAAAAAGAATTACAAAGGTTTATGACATCAAATAGTTATAATATAAAAACATATTTAATAAAAAATATAATCATACTTTTTATATCATAAATATTATTATTTTATTCTTTAAATTTGGTTAAATTTAAGATGTTTTAACTTAAAAAAAAGGTTGAATTACTTATAATTTAGGACCGAAGCCAATATAATATAATTATGGACTCAAATTATTAGTTTCTGTCATTTTCTGGCTCTGATCATCCAAGCCCACAGCACACACCCGCGGCCCATCTGGCCTTTCCCAATTCGCATTCTCCACTCCCGGCCCACGACTCATCCAGACACGGAGACGAGGCGGCGACGCTTGTGCAGAACTCTGAATCCATCGAGAAAAAAAACGCCGGCCCACGGGAACCCTAGGGCAGCCGGCTGCCGGCAGTGTCCCGCCGCCCCCGCCCCGCGCGGCTGCGCCGGTGCGCCCCTGCCCTGGGTCCGTCGCGGCTCACGCTCGCCAGCTCCGCCTCCGCGCCTCCGCTGGCCGACGCCGGCCGCCTGCTCGAGCGACGAGCGCTCGCCGCTTGGCCTGGCCCGGCCTCGGCCCCTGCCATCGGCCGTCTCAGCGACATACCCAACATTAAAATCCTGAGTCCGCCACTGGCCTCCGTCTTCCTCGCCCCCCTCCCCTCTCCCCCGTCGCATTCTCTGACGATCTGATCGTTTCTTGGTCCAGTATCATCGACGCCCGGCACCTGCTCGACACAATGCATCCAGGGGAAAGTAGCAAGAGATCGGTGCCTCCAGCGCTCGGCAGCGGAGGCTGCATCGACGCCTTGCCTGACGGCGTACTCGGGCACATCCTCGGCTTCCTCCCAGCGCCGGAGGCCGTGCGGACGTGTGTTCTCGCTCGGCGCTGGCGCCACCTCTGGAGGACCGCAACTCGCCTGCGCGTCGGTAACTGCAGTGAGTATGATGGGACATCGGTGAAGGAGCAACGGGAGTTTGTGGACCATCTGCTCCTCCTCCGTGGAAGTTCGCCTCTGGACATATGCGAGTTTGGGATCGGTGAATCACATGAATTACATTCCGACGATGTGTCGTGGGTGAATCTCTGGTTCCGTCATGTCGTGATGTGCAGAGCTCGGGTGCTGAGGCTGCATGTGTTTTGCCACATGTTTCTTGAGCTAGACGACCTGCCTCTCGTTTCTCAGCACCTGACGAAGCTATACCTTTGCTACGTACGGGTCCAGAATAGTTTTCTCAACTTCTCCAGCTGTCCGGCCTTGGAACATCTTGAGCTGGTTGATTGTGATCTCAATTATGTTGACAAGATCGCTTCCAAATCCCTAAAGCATCTGAGTTTGACTGATTGTGGTTTTGAACAAGTTTTTGACCAATTTTGCCGCATTCGCATTTATACCCCAAGCCTAGTCTCACTACATCTGGATTCCTTTGAGACTACTCCCATATTTGACAGCATGCCATCATTAGTGAAGGCATTTGTCCGAATAACTGAGGGTTGTTGGGATTTCTGTTATAAACCAGACGATTTGGATTGTACTTGCCTGTTGTGTGATGGTTCTGATAGCCGAGGTAGTTCTGTGCTTCTAAAAGGTTTATCTCAAGCTCAGAGTTTGGTGTTGATTTCTGCACCCAACCAGGTATACGTAAACTTTACTTTAGTCACATTATAACTCTATATGTCATTCCCTTATTTCCTGCATTATCTAAATCATTACTCAACATAGGTAGATGCTAATTATAGGACTTACCTGTTGCATGTATTGTGTACTGTGAGAAGTATTTCGTCTAACCTGTTACTTGCATTTTTCCAGATTACTTTCAAAAGTGATTTGAGATGGTGCCCTATGTTTAGCAATTTAAAGACCTTGTTGCTCAATGACTACTGGTGTACACCTGACGATTTCAGTGCATTAGCTTGTATTCTTGAATACTCACCAGTTCTTGCGAAGCTTACACTTGAACTCTTTTCTGAGGTACACTAATAGGCAGTTTTTGCATATGTATATGAGAAATGTTACACACATACACTGCTTCTTGATAGTGGGAAACAATGATTTATTTCGCTGCAGGGGCCTAAGTATAAAGTGGAAATGAAAGGAAGGTACAATTTGATGGAGAGATCAGCTAAAATTTCAGAAAACCTTAACATTGTTGAAGTGAAATGTCAAGTTGTTGATGAGAGAGTTCTCGAAGTTTTGAAGTTCCTGTGCACCTTTAACATAAGTAAGCTAACTTGCAACTTTCCTCGTGATTCTACCTGAAAGTTCACCACAAAATTATTGACAGACGAACACCCTGTTTGACCTGTTGATTAGTTTGGATTGAACGCAAAACGATGGAGCTACCCATATTTGGCTTGCTCGTTACTTCTGAATAATACCATAAATATCAGCATTTAATTGTTTTAACTTTTAAGCAATAACACACTATGTTGATTTATTGTTCTGTGGCCTTCCCTTTTTCTTAAAGGCTCTTTAGATATGATGTCAGTTAGGTGCCCCTATTGACTGAATCAGCTTTCACTCAACTCTATGACTAGCCACAACGTGGCTTTTTACTGATGCTGAAAGAAGAGAGTGTTGAACATGCCATTGTGTGAACCGATGCTGAAGTAAAAAAATGCAAGAATTGAGTAGGGTTCTTGATTTGGTGATGTACAAATCAACAATGATTTCTTAACTGATGGATGTGGGAAGGCAGGGAAGGGAATGGCTGTAGGTTCTGAACCTTGGTCAAGTGAATTTCCTAGCAAGGAAGCATGTTCCTGCAGTTTTAGGATTCTGTCAAGTAACTGAACTTTATGTTGCTGTAAATAACAATCATCTCTAAAGTAACTGCACCTTTTTTTGTTGTACAGGTTTCACTTTCTGATATGAGGCTCTAGGAAATTTGGGCTGTCTAGGGATCTACTATCCGTCATCGTTAGGAAATTCAAGGCTAAAGTTCATTGCAACAAGGTTGCCATCTCTAGTGCACAGATAACTGGGCGTGTTGTATTCTATGTCAGTTAGACTTCTTGTTATATGAATGTGTAAAAACTGGCAGCATAAGTTGTTCAGAACTTTAAATATGTAGTTGGATCTGGCACTTCATTTCGCTGTCATTTCTTTCACTCAGAGATCATGATGTTTTATTCAACAATCTGCACCAAGTAATTAATGTGCCTTTATTACTACATATATTTTGGTTCAGTATCGAACCTGGTAACATGACTGCTCTTAGTCCTAGCATAATCTGTTCACATCCCACTGTGGTAATGTGTTCAACGATTTAACATGACATCAGGTAGCATGATGATTGGAAAAGAAGGGTGACATGTCCCATTGGACATGGCAAATTATATCAAGAAATGGCTGCATTCTATGCAGGGAGTAGTGCACTTCCAACAAATTACTTGTCTTCTATCCCTCAAAAGTTTATATAGGTGATCTCCTACTATTAGTAGTAACATGTCATTTTTTCTCTCTTTCTTCAATAGACTACCAAAAATCCATGTCCAGTTTATCCCTCTCTCGTGGATCCCTCTAGTAAATGTGTAAATATGTATCTAGATATAACGTTCCTAAATAACTATCATTTTTTTTGTTTTTGTGTCGTAAGTTCACTAGATTTGTATCTCTAAATAAATTTATTATGAAAATCATGGTTATTAAGGTGGTAAGGCAAGGCGTGGTGATGGATTACTGCCTTGCGCTTAAGCGGCTAAAGCGTGAGGCGAGGCGACGCCTTAAGAATTTAAGCAAAACTTAAAGCATCAGCTTAGAGCAGTAGTTGATGAAGAAAAAAGAAAAGTAAAAAAAGGATAAGAGAGTTAAGAAATGGACTGGCCCAACCCACTAGGCAGCCGATGTGCCCCTCCCCCTCCTGGCGTGGTGGCTTCATCTAGCGCCGTCGCTCTTCTCTCTCGATTCGCTTAAGTGCCTCGCTTCTCTCTCCCTCTCCACTACTATTCCGCCTCCGCCGAATGTGCTGCTCTGCTTCGCTCTCCCCTCTCCGAATCCGCCTCTCTGCTTCCCCTCCCTCGTTGCTCAGCGCTCAGCTCTACAGCCACCAGCGTCCCCTTCCAGATCGAGCGAGAGATGGCAGAATCGAGTAGACCAGCACCAGAATCGACGAGAAGACGACGGAATCGAGCGGGCCAGCATCAAAATCGACGAGGAGACAACGGAATTGAGGGGGGGGGGGGGGGGGCATCAGCATGCGCAAAAGGTGACAAGGCGCCGCCTTACCCCTGAGGCGAGCCTAGAGCGCCCTACGCTTAAGCGTCGCCTAAGCGATGCTTAACAACATTGATCAAAATAGATTCATTGATCTATCTAATGATTTTAATTTTGTACCATAAATATTATTATTTTATATATTAGAGTGGATTTTCTGCAACAGTGTGTAGCAGTCCTGGGGGTTGTCGTACCTGCAAGCCCGCCTGGATCTTTGACACGTATTGAACGAGTTTGATCGGACGTCCGCTGTCTTACGGCCCAAAATGGCACAGGTTTGCTTTGCAGCTTTCTTGTAGCAGCTTTTGCAGGCACTTTTTTGGCAATCGCTTGGGGTCCCGGGTCCAGGCCCACCCCGTTCGCTTGGCATGTTTAGCTTATAAGTCGTATTTTTTAGCCAATGAATAATATTTTTCTCTCACATTAAATCAGTCAACAGTACTTTCAGCCATGATTTATCAGCCAAACAAGTCCAAGCGAACAGGGTGTTCGTCTTATGTACTGCTCACTCCCCTGCATCATGTTTTTTTTTTTAAAACAGACCGAGGAGGAGATGGGTGCTGCACACTCTGAAACGAAACGCTGGAATTATTACCATAGTCTAGACCCAACAACCTACCGTGCTGCCACACACAAGCTCTGTGACATTAGACCGAATGTTTTTGGTGTTAAATGAATTGACCCAAGACCGAACAGTAAACTGGGTTGGGTTGACCCAAAGCCCGAAAAAACATTAGCTGGGTTGAGTGGGTTATGTTTTGGGTCAACCAATAGTGACCCACTTGCATCGCTAGTACGAGTAGTCTATACGGAAGCTCCATTTAAATACGGGGTTTTGGATTTGGCCAGGCGATTAAACTCTCGTGTGATCAGGGAATTGTTGCAGCTGAGGAGGCATGGGTCGCTTCGCTCGTCTGGTGCATGTGGCCTGTGGGCACCATCCGCTTTTTGCTTCAGACCAATAGAGCTAATTGTTCTGCGCGTCCTTCTGGCTCTTGAATGAGTCTGCATTATTGAATGAGCATGGTATGCGGGTTCATGAGATGCCAATGCAATGTCCTGCAGAAGGACAGCTTTCCTCAGACACAGCATGTTCTCTTTGTTTAGTCTCAGCTTGTTTCAGCTTGTTTCAGTTTATTCTCTCTCACAGAACACTATTGAATCAACTGAAATAAGCCGAAATAAGTTTGAAATGTGACCAGCCGAACACGCCCATATTATTGTGGGTACGTAGTGGAAAAGAACAACTATTGTTGCGGACTGTACTTGGGAAGGGGTTTTTTGAACCCCCCCAGGTCGCTGCTCCGCCTCCGCTGAGTCCGCGAGCGCCCTGCTGGAGCCATGGCTGCCACCGCGTCTTGCTGCGGCAGGATGGCCGCACGCCGCCCAAGGCCGGCCGTGTGCCGCTCCTCACTCCCCCAGCCATGCTCCGCTCTGCTCTGACCCGTAGGAAGAAGATGAAGATAGAGGGGATGAAGTGCTGACGTGTGGGACCCACGTGGGAGTGAAATAGAGACGAAGGTGGAGCTGTCCCAAACACCTTCAGCTCTGCTA